AACTTAGAATGGCAAACAAGCTGATGGCCCACCTGATGAAAAGTGATAACCGTCGCCGATAAACATGAACAATATCGTGGACATAACAGAGTATATTGTTTCGCCCATGATACTCCCCATGCGTTGCCATTCCTGACGACTCAGGTGTTATTCCTATGTACCATGTAAATTCACGCCATATCCCACCCTTCAAACCGAAACACAGCCATGCAAACACAACTGCTTTACGGTTGAATTACGAATGGGACAGAGATACCCAAGCAAACGACTTTTGTACAAAGTCTCCCTCTTGCCCCTCTCTCACGAAATAGTTGTCTTTTGTTTTCTTCATAGATTCGGTAACAATACGTCTCTACCAATTGATTTGTTTCCTATTTATCTAAAGAATCCGGTAAATAATAATAGTTCTGTAACGGATTATGCTTATCATCATCATCATAATCTTCATCAACTATTTTTTTTATATAGGCCTCCATATTCTTTCTTTCCATATTGAGCAATCGAAGTTCGATTGTATCCTGTTATTTTCACCAAATCATTATATAGATACTAGTTGACCTGGCAAACGTTGTTTTGCTATATATTTTATTTCTAGAGAAATTTTTTTTGGGGTGAGCTTTCCTTATCACTTTGGGGTGGGCTATCCTTATCACTTTGGGGTGGGCTATCCTTATCACTTAAAAGCAATACGTTTTATCGTTACAATTAATACATATCTTATTTATTGACTTCTTTATTTTTGTAAGTACATCTCATTTTTATTGTTGAACATCTGATATCTAATTGTTATTTGTTTTTACTATTTAAAGTAATCGACTGAATAAATTAAATTGTACTACATTCTTTAATATTTTAATTAATGTTATGTTATTATTATATAATTTCGTAATGTTTAAATGATACAAAATTTTGTAAAATAAATTTTATTGTAATTTTTGTTTCCAACATTTGCACGCTTGATCTAAGTAGATTTTGTAAAGTACTCTTAATTTATAAGATCATATGTTTTATACCCAAAATCATTGAAAATAAAATTATTATTATTAACAATCGATTCTCAGACTAATAACTTTTATCAAAATCGGTTAAGCTCTTTCAGGGAAGTAACTAACATTGTGACAGGAAAAAAAAAACTATAACTATAAACTACTACTAACATATGTATGTAACTATATACATTAGGTTATAACGAAAGTGTTTGTGTACTTATCCCTTAAAGGGATTTCTTGCCGTCAACCTTGAGAACCAGACAGGAGAAAGTCACCATCATATTTTATATCATATTTCTTTTTCGTCTGTGACCTTCCTATATAGGCCTTCTGCAAACTCACCATATAATTTAAATAAATTGCAAAACTTTTTTTAACGTAATTTAACACGAAAAATATAAATATATCTGTGAGAGTGTCCTCACGCTCTCGTCTCATGCCCTTTGGCTGTCCACAAAACTTTTTCCATTCAGCTTTTAAATGTAAGTACGCAAAGATTAAATTAAGATCAACGTTCACTAATCATTTTTTTTTTTTATATTATTTATTTATTTATTTTACACTTTATTGCACCAATTAAAAAAATAATAAATACAGAAAATATTATATTAATGATAAGTAATATAAAAGGCGGCATTATTGCTAAGCAATCTCTTCTAAACAATCTTTGGGTAGAGGACATTGAGTAAAAGAGAAAGAGTTTTATTATATTTATTAAAAAAATGGTCACGGTCAAATTCACTAATGAGGCAAACAATATTGTTGGAGTGAACGTAACATTCTAACTATTAATAACACAAATGTTATAAACGTAAAAGTTTGTAAACAGGTTTATTAATTTTATTACATTTAAATAGAACACATTTGAATGAATTTCCATCACACATGAAACAAATCCTATATACTAAATCCTATATCCAGAGGGAGACTTTGTACCAAAGTCGATTGCTTGGGTACCTCTGTCCCGTTTGTGTTTCAACCGTGAAGCAGTTGTGTTTGCATGCATTTCCATTAGGTGGACCATCAGCTTGTTTGCCATTCTAAGTTGTATAAAAAAAAAAACAGAAAAACACATACAAATACAGAGTATGAGAGAGAGGGAAAGAGAGGTATTTGTAATTCAGTCGAGAAAAGCCGCCAACTAACTAATATTTGAAAAAATAATCCGTTTCCATATTACCAAGGGTACCATTTACCAAACATAAGGGATTAAACCCATGGCACGTATTCTTGTAGTAGCCATATTGTCGACCGATAGGAATCCATTACCTAATACAAGGGTTTGCGGACATCGTTCCGCATATTATATCAACATCTCGTGGCTTAAGGCTTTTCATATACAAAGCGACAATAAAAAAGAAATTCGAAGAATAAAAAATGTTGTTTTATTTGTTTATTTATACTTTTCAATGTGTGCAACATTGAAAAATGTCTACAGGGCGGACTTAATGCCTGATGGCATTCTCTACCAGTCAACCGCCGCGCCGAACAGAGAGAGCAAATGGCGGTGCACAGATTTAAAGTAAATTAAATAAATATTTTAATAACAATTTATGATAAATAAACATACAAACATATAGAATAATATACTTACAAAAATATACACACATAAATCACATACAATACATATATAAATAACCATACATAGTATATACTAAATTAAAAATATATAAATAATAAGATAGATAGATAGATAGATAAACACTTTATTTGAGCCATTTAACACACGTAAATTAATGAATAAAATGATACAATTTGATTATTTACATTTTTCAAATATAAAACAACATATAAAACATAAAATTAATATTGGAGATATGTTTTCACCAAGTGTGTCGCAGTGACCCAAAAAGGCTACAGCTCAGTGATACTTTTGCTTAAAAGCAAAGCACTGATTTTCAGCTGCAACCTGAAGCAAGGCTACACGAACGCGTGCAACAAACCCAGAGTGTAACCTGTGTAACCAATTTAATAGCAAAAGGTAAAATTATATTATATAGATACATACTTATATAGATGATGCATAAATAATATAATATATTTCATTAATTAATTAAACATAATATTTAACATATATAAATAATAATTCGCCACAGTAATTATGTTAAAAGCAGTCGCTACCAGGCGACTAATCCAAATTTTTGCTTATTTAATAAATGTTGCTTTATCAATTTTTTAAAAATTGATTTGGATGCAGCTAGTCTCATTGGAGGGGGTATGTTATTCCAGCATTTAGTCGCCTGGTGGCGAAAACATCCGGTAAAAGCGACTGTCCTATGGTTATGAACCGCCAACGGGGGCCGCGTTGATCGAGACACATTACATCCATAATAATTGTTGAAAGTCGGAAATTTGAGTTTTTTATATAGATATTCAGGGGATTTAAATTTCAGAAGATCAAACATAAGTACAGCAAGGTGCAATCGTCTACGTGAGTCCATGTTCAACATAGATGCTTCATTCAAATATGGTGTAATGTGACTACGAGGTGAAACAACAAAGCAAAAGCGACAGCACGCATTCTGAATCCTCTGTATCATTCGACGAGATGAAGAAAGGAGACGAGGCCCGTAGACCAGATCACCATAATTTAATCTGGATAACACAAGAGATTCACAGAGTGTAATTCGTGATCTTTCTGACAACAAATTTCGTATCTTGTATAATATTTTAAGTCGATAAAAGCAATTCCGGACCAAACCCAACACATGGTTTTCAAAACGCAAATTACTGTCAAAAAGCACACCAAGGTTCTTTGCCTCGCAAACATGTTCAATATTTGTATCACCGATCTTTACAACTAGATTATTGTTCGATGCCTTCTCAATTTGATTTTTCGAGCCAATTACCATATATTTTGATTTTAAAGGATTAAGAACAAGAGCATTATTATTAGACCATGCAGCGATGCGATCTAAATCTTCATTCATTTTCTGAACGGCATTAGATATCCCAATTTGATTTCTAGATATATACAGTTGTACATCGTCCGCATAACAATGATAGTTACAGTTCTTAATAACATTAGGGAGGTCGGCACTGTATATAATAAATAGAAGTGGGCCCAGTATAGATCCTTGAGGAACTCCACGCTTCACCAACCTGGGGGAAGATATCATACAAGTACCATCATCCTTCAGCAATTTAACCGCCTGAAATCGCTCTCCTAAATAACTCTTAAACCAATTAATCGAGTGATGATCAAACCCATAATATGACAATTTAGAGAGTAACAATGAAATATTGAGACTATCAAATGCGTAATATTTGTGACAGAAATGTCACGGATTCTACAATTTGTACATACAAGATCAATTAAAGTATCGGAACCAACTGAAAAATGTGTCGGTTCATTAACTATCTGTTTCAGATCCATACAGCTTAAAAATTGGTTGAATTTAATTACACTGTTATTCGAACTATCGAGTAAATTGATATTAAAATCACCTAGCAGCACAACGTGATCATAGTTTGAAAAATATGTTACCGATTCGGTTAATGCATCAATAAATAAGTCTACGTTTAACCACTGTGGTCTATACGCCGTACCTACAATAACACGATAACCATTTACTATTGTCGATAGCCACATCTGCTCAATACCTCCATTGGGATGCTGTACATAGCGCACGCGCATGCCTTGCTTAACATAAAAAGCTACACCACCCCCTCTACCGCCACGCATGTACTGCGGACGCGGCGTGTTCCTTAGCCGGTACCCTGGCACCGTGGGGGCACGCGCCTCCTGGCCTGCCGGCAACCATGTCTCGTTTATCGCCACAATATCCGGTTCGAAACGATTCATTGCAATAAGGAAATCATCATGACCCGTGTTCAACGATCCCGCATTATATAGCGCTAACTTAAAAAATTGACTTTTCATCATCATGGCATCGCATATACACATGCATATATATATAAGTCATAATTGTACATTTGTAAATATATTTTTGGTAAATTTGTATTAATTAATGTAATATATAGTAGTAAATAAATAGACACAACACATACTTCAAAATAATTGCAAACAAAAGAAAATAGTAAGTTATTAAAATATAAGTAAAAGGTGTAAAAAAACAATAATCGGTATATGTGTAGTATCGATACAAACGGTTCAAGATCATAGAATATTATCACTGCGACACACTGGTTCACCCTACTTTTATATGTAAATAGCGGAGTAGCCGTACAATGTGTATAAAAAAGGAAAATATATACAAAACCACTCAAGCTATTAAACAATAAATAAATATACTCCAAAATTGTAAAAAAATTGACTAAAGCATGCAATAAATGTAACAAAATACCATAAAAAAGAAATAAAACTAACACTACCTCAAGCTTTTGTACACTGATAACAATAAAATATAGATTATAAACAAATAATAATGTTTTTTGTACATTTTTAGAAATTTCGAAGAAAATGTAATTACAGCAGTGTACTAAATATGTGTAACGTAGAGATTTAAAAAATAGAACGAACCGCTTCCGGACCAAAAACTCGAACAAAATCATCGTCCGTCCGCAAACGCAAACGTGGAGAATCTCTATCGTGATATTGCCGCACATATATCCTGCCTTCCTTTGTCCACACGTAGCGCCATTTATACTGATTACAAAAAGTCCGTGCGCGTCGAAATAGTTGTCTGTTAACCTTTGTCAACCTCTCATTTAAATAAAAGCGGCGCGGTACGCCTGGCAGTCCCGTTCCTTCCGTGGTGGCACCGCGGCGTACCCGCGCAGCCTGTAGCAGCTGATCACGGATAGCACGGCGCGCCAGTCGTACCACAATAGGACGAGGGCGCTCCGAACTCACTTCTAGAGACTCTGCCATGCGTCCCACACGTCTCGCACTCACTATGTCCTGATCGGACAAATTAACACCCAGCTTAACAGCGAGAGTCGTAACAACATGCGACAGGCTTTCCTCTTTTTGCTCCGAAATACAAGATATTTCTATATCGTTTAATAAAAGATCTTGATCTCTATCGTTGATGTCCATTTTTAACTCGTTAATAGAAGCGAGAAGTGATGTGTCACATTGCTGCACACCGGACATATTGCCCATCCGATTCTCCAAGCTATTAATGCATTCGTCTATCTTATCCATACGACTCTCGCATGCACTAACTCTACTCGAGATTGCAGTCAATGTCTCATTTAAAGTTTTTAACTGAGCCCGTGTCGACTTCATTTCATCTCTAAAAAGACGTATCTCCATAGTAAGCGCTTGTATATCCGTTATTTCGCTGGTGGTATTTAGAGTGGTATCATTTAATATTGACTGCTCTGCCAGAGAAATATCCATATGCAAGGGTGAGCCCGGAACTGCTCCTCCGCGCTGCACAGTAACACCATCTACTGCTGCTCGAACAGGAGTATTCGTATTGTCGAATTTAGGTTGCCTGCTTTTACACATCACACACCGCCAAGCATCTCTATGCTCCTTCGTTAAGGTGTTATAAAAGCGCTGCTCGGATATATTTGCGCAATCCAAATCAAAGTGTTGATTACATCCACCACAATAAAGATATCTCTTGTTTTCAATTAATTTAAGGCATCCAGCACATTGTATTTTGTCTGACGACATTGTAAAAAAAAAAAAATAGCAACAATAATAATAAAAAAAAAATCAAAGGATGAATTCCAAGACTTGAACCCGCAACCTCCGTCAATGTCGCACTTTGCGCTTGCACCTCCGCGCCAGCGACAACTTAAGAAACTTTTTCGAAATTATGAAATATATATACAGCGCAGTGAGTGCGGTTGTGAGTAATTACTGAACAATTATTGACATTGAAGCTCACAAGGTCACTTAGCACAATTCACGGTCACTAAGTCGAGTAGAATTTAACGGTTAGAATAACTTAATTTGATCACTATATCAAAACTATTTTAGATCCAGAATAATGGAATATAGAGTTTTAAAGGTTACACTTTAAGGAGCAGAATGATTACTTTTGAAATCCAAATATACTTGTTTTTAACAATTTAAAAGATAAATGAATACGAGAACTAAAAATACACGTCCGCAGCTGTCACCGCGTCCGTATCTTATTGTTCAGATAACTAATTATATATTATAATAACTAATTATATAACAGATTAAGGCTTTTCATTGTTGTGATAAATTGAAGTAATGTTGTTATATATAATATTTCGCATATTATATTAATGTTAAAGTTTTTACTAGACAGAAATAAATCGTTTATCCTAAGTTCGCATATTAATATTTCGCTATCTGTGATGATATATATAAATATATTAAGATAAAGAAAAAGACGTTGACAAAAAGGAAATTCAAAGGACTAAGAGGTAAATTACTATATACAAATGTCCGCGAAGCTTCCGCGTCCGTTTATAACAAATCTGTACAAATCTATAATAGAAATTGTTGCCAGTTCTGCATATTTTATTCATTGGGCAGTCGTGTTCTTTTGTCGTAAATCTATATAATAAAAAAATATGCCACTGAATACTACTACGACTGTGTGAAGGTGTCGTCTCCTAGTGGTCAATATATATATAGCCTGATTCATATGTATTTATCAATTAAAAACCTAAGGCTGAGGCACAACTTCAGTGATCCGGGGCTAGTTGCCCTCAGAGTTGAAGCTGAACCAAAGGGATCTGCCTCGAGGCTTCTATTTATCTACCAGAGTAGATAAAGCTACCAAAGCTTCTGGTTCTTAGAAGAACCAGAAGCTTTCGTAGAAGAAGAGAGAGGCCGCTTTGATTGATTGTATACAAAGGCATCGAAGGTGGCTTACAATTAATATTATGCAAACTGTTTCGGTTTATATAAACCGCCGAGTTTACGCATCTCCGCATCGCTCCGTGTGTTAAGCGCCTAATACACAGGTGCTACACCACAGATAACTAAAATATTTATATATCACATGTGTAATACGCCAATTTCCAGATCCCGAACTAATAAGTATCGCATTGGGCTCTGTGGCGAGAAATGATTTTATTATGGTCATAATAAAATACTTAAATGCAACAATAAAGTAGACCGTCGTTTGTTATATTGTTTGTATTTACTGATCACAACCTTTTTTTTTTTTTAACTAGGGTGAAAATCTTCAGAAAGAGACCCATCCGTCGGCGGGACGACGGATGGGTACTGTGGGATTTTTACCCACTAAAAAACACCCCGGTATTCCTCTTGGCGCCTATCCGTCGGTGATTGAGGCTCGCGACTAGTAGTCTTCTCAATCACCGACAGTACTGATCACAACCTAAGGCAACTGGAGGGAAGAGAAATGTTAATAAACAGCCTCATTGCTAACAATATATCCTAACAAGTTGATCTCCATGCGGTTCTTCCTGGAAACCATCATGATTAATTCCTGTAGAGTTCGACATGATGAGCCAACTGACCTGACTTCATCCTCATTTGTCATCATTCATTAGTACCCCGTCAGTGTATACTGATATCGCAGACAGTACTATGTTTATCCCATAGAAAAATCTATGGCATGTTAAACTATTAGGATCTTTTATTTTCCGTACCTTATTTCTTTAATTTGGATTTTACACAATTGTTTCGACTTCACTTTTTGAAAAACCAAATAATGTAGTTTCTAAGAAAAATCTCGACAAGGAGCTTATTTCACAGCCTGAGCATTCGCGGAAGAAAACTTCTAAAACGGCACTGAACAAGATCATTTAGGTTCTAGTGTGTGAGGATAAGTTCTCTATAGATGGCGAGCGATGCGATGTTAAAAAGTTTATTTATTTATTTATTTTACACTTTATTGCACCAAGTATAAAAAATAATCATTACAGTAAATATTAATGAGAAGTGAAACAAAAGTTCTCTCACAGAAAACTGTATCAGTGTAAGTTAGTCATTACAAACTACTTGGTAACTTAACTAGTAACTCTTAGATTGAGAGTGCTAAGTGAAGTTGTGAAGTTTTCCATTAACATTTACAATTGTTACAATCAATATCTTTGTAAATTGTGTCTTAACAGAACAAGTACATTTTGCTTCACAAATAAAAATGGCGTCAGAAAGTATGACAAAATTTACAATTATTAATAACTAGCTGCTCATCCCGGTTTTGTACGGGTGTATTAATGAAGAATTGTAAAAAAAATTAAACATTTTCTTTCATACAAACCTAGTCTTAATAACTACAAATACAACAAAAAAGAATTAGCCAAATAAATGTACATTTAAAATGATATGCTTACATATATTCGGCAATTGATTTTTGTTCAAATTATTATGTCAGATGTTAATTGTTAGATATAGTCCTCGCCCATAAGACTAGTAGTTGCCATACTTGTCAGGCAGTTTGACAACCCTAGTTAGGCTTTAGTGATGTTTTAAAAAAGACGCTGCTGTCCATCCCTCGAACATGCATTTCTCTCAATCGCCTATTATGACACCCACTGGAAAGGAATGGGTGACTTATTCGTTGCCGAGACCTTACGGAAATAGATCTTCATATTTTTTTAAACTTACTTAAAAAAACCAAAATTACTATAATATCATATTGTTTTAAGCATAATACAGAATTATGTCTCTATAAGTGGATTAAAAATAAAAATTATAGGACCACAGGAAAAACATACTGACAAATTAACTACCTCTTTTTTTTAAAGTGGCTTAAAATTTTAAATTTAGAACATAATACTTATTATAAGAGCACCCGCACGCTACACAACTTTAATAGGTCCCTGATAATTTTGCATTGGACTTAGGCGGTACGCAAAGGTGAAAAGTTTTATTACTGGTACAGGAAAGTATAATAATAATTCACTTTGTTATAATAATAAAGTGAATTAATTATTATAGGCACGCGACTGGTTTTGATAAATCGATAAAAATGCCTAAAGACGATGAGACAAAAGTGTTCGTGCATATATGTATTACAACAAAATTCATATGTACATATACAGTTGAATTTTTAAATACAGCACGTATATCAGTCAGGCTCGCGCTTGCATCACAGGCCGCTCATTATTAAGGGTCTCGAATTGATCCCGAAACTAGTCGAGCTTTCTCGATCTAATAACATGTAATTTTTTAAACTGATATGAGTGTGTATGTAATAATATTACAAAGAAGAAAGATTTGATTATTCGTTTGTTTGTTTGCTTGCAATGATTATCGTTAGTGACTACTAAACCGATTCTAAAAATTCTTTCACCTATAAATCTTTGATTATTTTCGCAAATTCTATGTACCCGTACGAAGTCGGGCCGGATCGCTAGTTAAAAATAAGCTATAATATATGTCGTTGCGACTTACGTTAACAATAGTATAATACGTAAATAATGAACTAGATAGACTCCTTCGAATCAAGAAATACTTATAAATAAGTTGGAATATTCAAACATAGCCTAGGCATCTAATTGGCGTCTAATAATACAGTACATTTAATGGTTATATATTATTTTACATTTTTCCATCTCTTAAAAAGTACGTAAATGCCAAGTACTAAGTTCTATAACTACTTCATCATCATCATCATATCAGCCTTTAATTGACCATTGCTGAACATAGGCCTATCCCTTGGGGGATATTGCCAGTAGCTGCTACGCTTGGCAGGCGAATTGGCATATTATATATATATATATATATATATATATATATATATATATATATATATATATATATATATATATATATATATATATATATATATATATTGATACAACATTTGGATTTAGTTTATTTAATTAGATTTCCTACTTCTGAATTTCACGCGTACGATATAGCGGTTAAAAAGCTAGCTTTCAACACGAGTGTTTAAATTTACGAGTACAACACCGAATTAATTTTATACTACTTCAGTGGCAAATAAGCATACAGCCAGTCGGATGGTAACCGTAGCCTGTGGACGCCTATAACACCTGGGATTCTTATGAAATCTTAATACGTCTTTTTGAAAAATACTATGCTGTAAATTCTAGGAAAAGCCTCTGCAGAAAGATTATTCTACAACCAAAGTGTTTGCTTGATGAAGATCTTCTGAAACTGCACTGTATATGATCATTTTGGTTCTAAGATGTGAGAATCAATTCCCTGCCGATGGCGAACGCGCGAATTTAAAAGGCATCATATCGAAAAGTTCTTCAATATTTCTCGCAATATTTTTCTCAAATTTCACTATTCTAAATTCGGCGTTCTAAATTCATGTATTTTAAATTTAAGAATGTCAAATATCGTTACTATGCAAAAAGTGTTTTATCATCTAAAAGAATAGATCTTATTTTTAATTAAAAAAAAAAGTAATATTTTCAACATTAATAACTGAGATTCAGTGGCGATAATTATAACTCCCTTATCTTTGTTACTTACAAGGCCAATGAGAGACATTAATTATACAGATATAGAATACACAAAGTAACATCTTAATAAAAGTATATGAAAAAGTCTTGGCTATCTAAACATCAAATCACTTTCATAGAAATTACGAGGAAGTAATTTGATATTTACTGAGTAATCCTATTCATTCCTGTCCTTAGTCTGTGATGAACAACTGTTTGTTCTCATTAGTTCCAGGAATATAATTGTCAAAGTGTATAAGGCACTTGTCCCTCTATCTACAGAAATATACAAATTAACGTATGTGTGGTGGTAATTAAAATAGCTTAAAATTTGTTAATATTCATTATCCCATCAGCTGTTAACTGTCCACTGCTGAACATAGGCCTCACCAATTAGGGAGTTTTGCTAGTAGTTGCCATGCTTGACAGACAGATTGGCAACTGCAGTTAACCTTTGATAATATTTAAAGAGAAATGCTGTTGCTCATCTTTCGACTATTAAGTTCTGTTAGGCGCCTTTTACGACATCCACTCGAAAAAAATAACGGCCTATTCTATGCCGGAACCACACGGCAATATAGGTCATACTTATAATTAATACTCGTTTACTTTAACTATAAAACTCTACCCTCCTTCTTACAAGAAGGAGGTTTCTATTTAAATGTGAGCTATCGTTATCAGAGTT